TCTCTTGTTCTTCTTCTCCTCTCTATGGATGTATATATACCTAGTGATTTTAAGGACATTTTGAAGAGAACTAACATATGAAATAAATAACTTCGTTAAGCTCGTCGAAACGAGCTAACATGTATACTTATAATTTCATTTTATTTTTACAAATAGAAATACGTCCTTCATTGGGGCAAATATACATCATTAGACAAAGTGTTGACAATTTATTCGAATTAGTGGGAAGAAGATCGACACCCATGTCGCCACTTTTTTAACAACTGCGTCGCAATTTTTCGCAATTACGGGTCACAGTGCGATCGCAGTCGAACATATGGGCATCATATGAATCATTAAATGATTCAAGATCATTATCATCATCTTTATCAACTTCATCAACTGGAACAAAAAAACAAAGAATGAAACCAAGACCATGTTTAATTTGGAATACCAATCCAATTCAAGTGTTGTTGATGGCAAGGTTTGATAGAAGTGACGTTACTAATCCAAACTTTCAATGTGGATCATTATCAACAGGTTACATCCGCCGCCATCTTTTATCCGTTTATCCAAAAGAAGGACTTGATAGTAGACGAGCAATTAAAGCAAAAACAACAAAAAATAGTCCTATCACCATCACAAACACAAACCTCATATTAATTCCTGTGACTGTTGTAGATCTCACAACATTTGATAGATTAGTTCCGGAGTTTTTCGACCAAGAAGATATGAATTACGTTAATTCACTGCTGTTCGAATTATCGATTGAAGAAACTCAACAAAAACTTAAAGAAAAATCAGAAGCAATTAGCAAAATTAATTATGAATTAATATTAAATAATAATAATGATGATAATAATGATAATGCTTCATTACCAACAACGAGAAGCTTTTTTTCGAACCAGTATATGTCTTCACTACTATCACCATTAAAAAAAATCAACATCATTGAAAATAAAAATTTCACACGTGAGGTTACAATTTGAAACTTGATATTTGGTTTGTTATACCTTTTTTTTTATTTTAGATAAGTTTAATTGAAAATATTGATGATCATGATGATGAACGTATAATATTTTTATTGAACGAAACTGGTGAATCATTGTCAATTGAGAATCTCATTGGTTTAAAAGTGAATATAATTTTATTTAGTTTCTTTGATTGCTTTATTTATATTTAAAGATTCCTATGTCATCGACACCAGTTAATATAATACAATATGAATACGTTTTATTAATTGTATTAAAAGAATATCAATTAGACGCTGATCATCAAACTATTCAAATAGAAGATTCTCAAAAGAAACAAAAAATTGATTTTAAAGTAAACAAAATATCAAAAAAAACATATATTTTATACGTATTTAAATTGATTTTTAGATTAGAAATCATGTTAAAACTATGAACATGAATGGTATATGCAAGCGTGTGTTTGATTTAGGATTATCGTCATATTCAAACTGGCCAATGCAAATACTTTGTGATACTCAAATTCACAATGATCATCGATGCATTACTTTTAGTTCAATTGTTAAAATCAATAATAATACAACACGGCCATTAATTATTTTAAATATTGATTCAATTGATGCCAAACAATATCATACAATTGCAAAAATTGATGTTGATGATGAATATTATGTACCTATTGCTTCACTATATAGAAACTCAGGTCCAACAATCTTCATTGGTATTGATGGGTAAGAAGATTCGGATTTTTAGAAAAAGAAATTATTTGGTTTTTGTTGATTTTAGAAATGAAAATAATGAAGAAATAAATGATTTTTTTTTCATTTGATTGGGATCAAGACTTTCCAAAAGAAAAACAATTAAAATTAAAAACTGGAAATGAAGTGTCATTTATAGTAAGATTATTAAGATTTACAAAGAGTTCAGTGAAGCTTATTTAGAAAATACTAATCAACTTGATCGAAATAGTTTTACCTTTTCTATTCATTCATCTTTTCATTCGACTACTAGTTTATCTGATGTTCAATGCTCAATGGATGTAAGTGATAGATTTTATGTTGAATATTTGAATATGAGTGTGAGGGTGTATCCTCATGTTCAAGATCTTCAACAAAGAAAATGATATCTATTTAAAGTATTAAACGTTGAATTGAAAAAAGAATAAATAAAATTTAGATATTGGAACCTGTACATTCCGCATTAATGAATGCACGATTTCTTGTTGATACATTTAGTTCAAATCCATTAATTCGATCTGATCGAGCATGTGAAGATTTAGTTGATGAAGTTAAGATTATTTATTACTAGCGAGAACCCGTGCATACTGCACGGTCTGTTTTATCAATGAAAGAAGTTTTATCGTGAGGATACGGTTGTCAGGGATACAATCCAAATCTTTATTTCTGTTCTATAAAAGCAGCTTATTTATTTAATTTTCATTTTATTTTAAAACAACTAAATTACAAAACTTCTTTGAAAACAATGTTTCTAGTCCTATTTTTTTCACTGTTCTTGTCTCTGATGAGTTGTATCTTGATAGATGACAGGGAGCGAACTCTGGAAAAAGCAACGTATAGTTGTCCATGGCTGAATACTGGCTGTGGTAGAATTAGTCCTAATCGTTCAAATGTTTGTCCTTGTGATTTGTTGATTGTCATCGCAAATGAAAGTCGAATAGGGAACTGATGTCTGCGTAGTTTAAAGGGCAAAAATGTATCAGATGGTGTCATTGTAAT